ACCCTATCCGTCTATAGGAGCAGAAAATAAGTCAACATGAACCAATGCAACTCCCTGCCAAAGCCAAGAAGAGGTCTCAAAGACAAAACAAAAGATAGACGAACCTTTGTTCCAGAGCTTTCTTGTGTGCTCTTTCTTGTTCATCGTCTGAAAAGTCCAACTCTTCTTCTCCAGGTTCTTCATCGTGGGCATTTGAAGCATCACTGCCTTTGATAGTTTTCAACTGACTAACAAAGACAAAGTTGCTCCTTGCCGGAACATGAAAGACTTCTCGAGAAATTTTGACCTTTTCGGGGTCCAGAGGGTAATCTTTACTGAATCTGACTTGATAAAGAGGTTGATGAGTTGGTCCAAACGTTTCATAAACCTGATAGATGAATGATAGATTAACCAAGGGATGGGCAAGAGAATGAGATAAAAACACAATCAACTCACATAACCGAAAACCTTTCTATCCTCAAAAACCAATAAAGTCTCCGCATCAAGTGCTCTCTCCGAAGCTCTATTCGCAATATGTGAAGCATTTCCTTTCACAATAACCACTTTATCAATGATACTCATAATCTCTCCGACCTTTTCCAACTCTTCGTTTCCTTCGATTTCTTCCATTGTAGGAATTATAATTGGTGGCTCTGAAACTTCGTTTTTGGTTCGAAGTTGATTAACGTTGTTAACTCCTCCTCCACCTTCTTCGTCGTCTCCTCCATCATCATCGAGATTATCGTTAATAGTAGAACTTCCGTTTAGATTTCTTTTCCTTTGTGGAATATCTGAATCCGAATCTGAATCTGAAGAATCCGAGTCTGAAGTGGAATCAGAAGGAGCTATCCTGTTGTGAATAAAAAGGAAGTGAAATATTAGTATTAAATTCTCGAACTAGAGAATGAATTAAAGTCAAAGAATATAAACAAGTCGAGCTTACGAAGGTTTAGGTTCTTCTTCATCGTCTGCTAACCCTCCCAATATATTGTCTTCTACTTCTTTTTCACTATCCGCATCATCATCCCCGTCATTACTACTTGCTTCGTCGTCGTAGTTGTCCACTTTTTTCGACTCGGAGAGCGATACCTTCGTTGGAGGAGGAGTTTTATGCTGAACTATTGGAATAGTAGGGATATCTCCGACTAGATCATGAATGAGAAGTAAATCTTGAGGGATATGTGAAGGGACTTTGAAATAATTTTCGCTATTCATATCGAATAGAATACGGCGAAAGAGTCTAGTGTCATGAAGGTAAGAAAGAAAAAGTGTTCAAGAGCAATTTGAAGACGTCCTTCAAAAGGAAGTTCTCCAAAGCGGCGCGTCTCTTTTCAAAAACTTTTGATTTCAAGTTCGCCTTCTTGCAACTTGCCAACGTACCAAGTCCATAATCCAACTCCCTGCATATTTAATCCTCCAATACTTCTCTCTGCATTCTCTCCATCCTTCAAAACATGTTCTCAACTATTCGTATTCAACGTACCCCCGCCTTTCATTCCACATTCCATCGTCTATACTCCAGCGCACCAGATTCCAAAGTCCCAATCAAACTAGTTGCCGAACTTCGAAAGTTAACTTCAGTCTCACTCTCCAAAGCTCGTGAGGCATTAACCGCTTCAAACCATGACGTTCAAGGAGCTCTAGCTTGGCTCTCCCAAGACCTTTCAGCAACCGGAGCCAAAAAATCCGACAAAGTCAAAGACAGAACAGCCAATGAAGGGTTAATCGGAGTTTCTATTCTTTCCAAAGGTCTTTTCAGTGACCAAGCAGGGAATGGTGGAAAGGGTATCGCTGGGAGAGGAGTTAGAGGAGCTATTGTCGAGTTGAATTGTGAAACTGATTTTGTGGCTAGGAATGAGTTATTTGGACAATTAGTTCAAGATATCGCACATACCTGCGCTTTCGTCTCTGAAATTGCTCCATCCCCATCTTCACCAGCATCATCATTAATTCATTCATATCCTTTGGAACTTCTTGAAAATGCTCCTCTCCTTTCATCCGTCGGTGCTTCTCAACATACCTCCTCAGGAAACTACAAATCAGTCATTCAAGCAATTCAAGAAGTAATCGCTAAAGTAGGAGAAAAAATCGTTTTACGAAGAGCTTCAAATATCGTTCAACCTTCCCCTCCTTCATCTACACCTTCTGGTCTTGATTTAGGTTTGAGGTTATCAACCTATTCACACGGATCTCTCAAAATTCCAACTCAAGGTAGAATATCAGCACTCTCAGTTTTGGCCTTAAAATCCCCTCGTCTCGCTTCTTTCCAATCAAACCCACAATTCTGCGCCGACCTCGAAAAACTCGAAAAATCGTTGAACATGCAAATCGTTGGATTCCCTACCAAGACGGTTAGAGGACAAGGAGAAGAGGGAAGTGTGTTGTATGAACAACCATTTGATATGTTTGCTCAATCGGAAGGAAGGAATATTGAGGATACGTTGAGAGCTTGGGCTTTGGAGAAAGGATTGATTGAGAATTTGAATGAAGAGGGTGGAATTGAGGTTTTGGAGTTCGCGAAGTGGTCTGTCGGTGAGGATTTGGATTAGTGAGGAGGTTGGGAGTTGGAGACTTTTGGTACGAATAAAAGGTAATGAGCAAACTTTTCACTTAATTCAATCACTTTCGTCTTGTATCTCGCTGACCTGGCTGGTCTCCGTTTACGCCCACACATTTATAGATACTGTATATGACCTACTATAATAACCCCGGACATTCATAGAAGACTATTATCGCTATATTACGACACAAACAAAACCTCCCACCTCACGAACCTATATAAACTACACACTATTTATCTTTATTAGATGCATGTTGCTCATATAACGAGGTATCTATTGCGACCCTTACATGTACCAGAGGCATTCGAGAAGACATGCGCAAGACATTGAAAATTGAAAGTGAAGGTGAACGACATGGATGGAGGTTCTCTCTGGCGAACTGCACCGAAGAACCACGAGCGAAGGAATGAGAGTTATTAAATTCAACTAGTATGTATGTACTCAGCACGTATGCCAATATGTGTGTAAGTATATCATGCAAATTACCCAAATCCCCACACCACACCGCCACCTCTCCTCACCCTCTGGACACCACCGCACTCTATTCCTCTTCTCCCAACTAGTCCTTCTAAGCATATCCGCCAACACCATACTTCTTCAAGGTCATCTTATAATCATCGACATCCTCATTACCCATGACAACAACCGTAGCCTTGTTCTTCGACTCAGGTCCAAAGATCCTGTTAGCAACTCGTCGAATAGCATGATGATCTACTTCATCAATTCTTGCACACATCTCTGAGACGGGGATTTTTCGGTTATGGACTAGGATCTATTTCACGAAGGAGAGTTAGCGAGTGTCCTGAAGAAAGAAAAACAAAAGGAAATCAATGGTAAGAACTAACCTGTCTTCCCAAATCCTCAACCTCAACACTCCTACTTTCCAAAGCCATAACCAAGCTACTCTTCAACTGATTTGTAGCCCTCTTTAACTCAACATCCGGAAGTGGGCTATACAAGAGTAAACTCAATTGATGAACCAAATGAGGTAAAACTTGTTGAGGAGTTAACCCTCCTGAATTATTGGTACGAGATAAAGGTGTGTTAGGTACGAATGTTGCGTATAATCCGAATAATGCTGAATCGGTGTAGATGTGATGGAAAGAAGCGCAATGATCAATTTGAGGGTAGTGATTAAGGATGTGAGTGTATAATCTTGAATACATTCCCTTCCCGGGACCGCCTGAAATCGAACCATTCGAATTAGCAAATAGTTTACAGACAGAAGATTTAGATGAGATAGTTACCTGCGGAGAAACTACCACCACCGCCGAGTAACACTTGCATAGTTGCCAGAGTGTACACATCATCATCGTGGATTCCAACACCTTCAAATCCGACGTAAAGATGATCAAATTCGGTTTCTGGGTCGTGGATGAATCGATGTCCTCCCGTATATGTCGCACGTCCTGTTCCTAATAATGAAGCGGGTTCGATTGAAGGAGAAGCACTAGAGGTAGGGTACAAATAGGACGAAGCGGCCCGCGTTAATGATTTATAGAGTGAAGGTGATTGAGATGAAGGTGGTAGGAATGTAGAAGATGACGTTTGCGGTTGTTGAAGTGGTCGTGATGAAGGTGAAGGTTGTTGTAAGAGGGAAGGAGGAGGAACATACTTGATTCCAGAGAAATATTTGTCAACCAATTCGACAAGTTGATCATGTTGAACGCCAGCAGCTGCAATGACCATTCTCTCCGGTCTGTACCACTCCTTCATAAACGACCTAAGAGTCTTGTCATCTATAAAATTGACTCTATTTTCAGGACATAATAGAGGCATCCCGAGTGTTTTGTGGTTGTATGCGACTTCGTGTAAGATTTCAGGAAGAATCATTTCGGGTTTTGAAGAAACCTCTCTAATTTCGTAGCGTGCAGCGTCACGTTGGGCCTCAAGTTCGTCTTGGAGGAAGGAAGGGTTACAGACGGTGTCTGAGATAAGGGACAAAGCTTGAGGAGTAGCTTGTTGGAAGTGGGAAGATTGGTACATGATAGCTTCCCGGGACGAGGAACACATTATTTGACCACCAAGTTTATCCATAGCCGTAGCCATTTCCAAGTCAGAGCGCGTGGTTGTGCTCTACACAAATTATTTAGGTATGCAGGAGAACAATGATATGTAGAGATAAATACCTTGAAAGCCATCCTGTCTAAGAAATGGCTTACACCGGAGTTCGCATTCGTCTCATAACGAGAGCCAGCGTCGACGTACAAGCCGAGGGAGGAGAAATGGCCTGGGGTAGACTCTGTCGCTACCCTTATTTTGTTTGGGAGAGTTGTGATTTGGACTGAATCAGAACTAGTAGCGGCATGTTGTAAGGACCTGCGAGGAGCTCTTCTGAGCAACGAGGATGGTGGTTTTGGCATACTTGCGCACTGGCAAAAGAGACGCTGGATGAGCAAACAGGGTTGGTGAACATCTGACTAATCTGATAAAGTTGAGATGAGATAAAAGTGAAAAAGAAGTCCCCACCGTGGTTCGAACACGGGACCGCACGATAGAAGCTCAAGGCTGCAATCGTATGCTCTACCACTGAGCTATAGAGACCTGCTGCTTTTTTCATTTCTCTTGACTATTGCACGTCGCATTCGGAGATTCGGATTGGCGAAGGATTGTACGAAACGACGACGAGGAGAACGCCGACGCCGGTTCGAGACAGATCGCAGCGTTGCTCGGCGACTAACTGCAGACCACACAGAATGACGACATGGCCTGGCAGTCTGCTCAACTCTCTGTCTCATCTTTCTCGAGTTCACTAGGGCCATGAATACAGAAGCACCGTCTGTTGCTACTTGACGTTATAGCGTATCTCTCATTTGCTGGTGTGGACTGAAAGCTGAGCGCAAGTGCTGGCGAGGGAGAGCAGGCCATCTCGGTTCTGCTCGGACTATCGAACGGCGTCTCCAGAAAACGACCACTCTCCGTCAACTGCCGCACATGCTCTCCTAGAGGATTACAAAAATGCACTTACAAAAACAAAGGAGGTCTCTCCGACTACTCGTGTTCCCTCTCCCACATCGCCTCTCTGTCTCCTCTCACCATGTCCTTCATCAACCAGACAAAGGCCCACCTCTGGGATGCAAACTTTTGGGGTCCTGTGACCGCTACCTTGGACTGGTGTGAGGTCAGTACAGCCAAGACCAAGCTTGTCCCTGATAAATATCACATGTTAATCACCCTCTACAGGCAAACTATCAGTTCTCTCGATACATCGCAGAGAGCGCGAACACCTTCTCAAACCTCATAACTGTCTCGCTTGCACTATGGGGAGCTCAACAAACTCGTTCAGCTGGTCTTCCATCCAGATATCTCGTCGGTTACGCTGTAAGTTTTTCAGTTGCTAAGCCTCCTCTACACCCTTCTCTGAATGAGAACCAGGGATTTGCTCTCGTTGGTTTAGGTAGCATGATCTTTCATGCAACACTTCTCTACGAAGCCCAATTAGCAGATGAATTACCCATGATATACGTTGCTACCTATTGTTCTGCCGTTCTCCTCGACACACGACCAGGTTTCACCAAGAGTTTCAGAACACTTTCACTCGTTGCTGCTTACTTCCTCTTCAACATATTCTTTACATGGAGTTAGTAAGTATCTTTCTCCTATATATGCTAACTTCTGTACTTACGACCTGCACAGTTCAGTATATCGAAACCCGGTATACCACCAAATCGTTTTTGCAACTATAATGCTCTCGACAGCCGTTCGTACACGATACCTTCTAAACAACTTCACCGTCGAAAAACCAACCAGTCATAAAATCACTCATTCACAAAAACGTACTATTGGAAGAATATTCTTGGCTGGAGCTGGTATTTTCGTGTTCGGATTCTTTATCTGGAACTTGGATAATATCTTTTGTAATACGATCACGAATTGGAAAGTTTCAGTGGGATGGCCTGTTGCTTTCCTTTTGGAAGGACATTCTTGGTGGCATGTTTTCACTGTGAGTTTTCTTTTCGTTGTCGTTGTGTTTCTTCGTATCGTTGTATTGTGAAATTGACGGTTTGCTCGATCCGTAGGCTACTGGAACTTATTTAATGATCGTCGGAAATACATGTAAGCCATAATCGTCCTGAACCACAAAAACTTTCATTTTAGATCTAACTTCACACCTACCTTCATTACCACTATCCCACCATCTATGGCAGATTTGTAAGTCTCCTCCTTCCCCTTTGCTAGTTTCTTCCGTCCGTTCTAACTTGTACCTTGACAGGACATTATTACTCAAAGACGATACTTGCAAATATACACTCAAGAATAGCAAAATTCTTGGATTACCCACTATCGCTCGGACCAACGAAAATGAGAAAGTCAAACAACTCTGATATGGAAACCTTTACATGTGGTATTGTATCGTATTGTTGTAGAAGTAGAACTAGAGCGGGAAAGAAGCGATAGGGTAAGAGGTGAAAAGAGGAGGGACGACATAAGTAATCTTTAGCGGAAGTCTTCTAGAGATTTCTCCTAGTGAGGAAGGAGGTGATGTGATATAATTCATTCATTCATTCCATTAATCCAATTAATGCAGTAACGACCTTCATTCAAACTTTACATGATGATGATGATATTGATATGAGCCTTCCTTGTCATACAAACTGTACGATCCCAACACATACAATTCATTCCATACACATTTTTTCTTTTCATTTCGCTGCTCTTCTTCATCTTTCTTGTCTTTTTAATATTTAATATTTAATATTTTCTTCATCCTACCCCACGCACCTCAACTAAATGTTTCAATAATATTTCGAGCTCTCATGATTTCAGTTTTCTCTATGTTGTAATATCCAATGCCTGCGATTCCAAACTTGAACGCGACACATAATATAGATACAATTGTGCATGTGTTCAGAAGTACAATAGACTATACGTGCTTATTGAATCCGGAATGAACGTATGTGGTCATGGATAGAATACAGAACAAAGCAAAGATACATCGGTTAAAAAAAGACATAACTTATGTCAAAAAGCAGCAAAGCAGAATCATGCCAGTAATAAGCCACCCAATCCGCCCCTCACCGTCGAGAAGGAACCCTAATCCATTTCGTATCCCTCCTCGTCATAAGATAAACAATCTCAATCCCCCCTCCGCCCCCATTCCCACCTCCACCTCCTTTTCTCCTCCAAGATCCAGGTTGAGTAGGAAGTAAATTCGTTACTATAAACCTTTGACCTTCTTTAATCAATAGTCCATATTCTTCTGCTTCTGAATCTCCCGATGTGTTGAATGAAAGAGCGTCCCAGACTGTTAGTTGGGCTTTGAGGTGTGCCGAAGAGGAAGTGGTATGAGAAGAGTAGGTTGATGAGATAGTCGAATCTTGAACTTCTATAACTCTGAAATTCCGGACTTGTCTTGGTGGACAAAGTGCCTATAAGAACAAAAAATGAAGTTTTCAAAAAGAAAAAAAAACAATCAGAATTGTTGGTTAGTTGAGCAAGGAAGAAAAACATAGGACCATTGGACGAACATTTAAATCTCTCTCTAAATCATCACTCATCTTCTCCCTATCTCTCTTACATTTATCTCTCAATCCCTCCGAAAGCCAACCTGCATCTAAAGCAGAAACTCCTCTCAAAGTTTCATTGGCTTTAGTTGGATCTTCAAGTTCGTATAAGAGGTCTTCGATATACTCTGGTGCTGAATCTATATTAAAACAAAGTGGACAAGAATCATAAGGAGAAAAACGAGAGTGATAGATTTGGGATAGGGATGGAAAGAAAGTTTGAGTGAGTGGGGAAGGGAGGGAGGGGGGAGAACGCACCATCTTCTCGAGGACGAAACCTTCCAGCTTTTCTGTCTAGTCTCTCAGCGTACCCTTCATATCTATGCATCTCTGCTTCAAACTCTGCTCTCAATTTTGTAGCTTCAATGTCTCTTCTCGTCTATCAAATCAATCCGGTGAAAAAAAAAAGGAAGACAAGTTAGCGACTTTGCTGATTGAGGGGAAATCGGATGAAGAATGTGACGTACCATCCATTGATTATGAGCTATTGATTCTTCGCGTTCATTCCTAGGACCTTCCTTCGTTCTCCTCCCGTCGGGATGAACAATGAACTCGATGAAAGCCACAGGGTACGCCTAAATCGAACACACACAAAAAGAAATCAATGGATAAATTGAACAACCAAAACGAATCAACTCAGCAAAACCACAAATAAAATAAATCAAAACATACCTTCACAACTTCTAAATCCATAACAGCAATCATCCCACCATCAGCCGTACAACTTCTCAAACTAGCCACAAATGGTTCCCTTTGAAACCCAAGTTTCGAATACCAAGGTGCCAAATGACAAGAATTACCGGATATTTTGAGTGTGACGCTTTCGTAGGCTTCTAAAATTTCAACAGCTTCTTTTTGTTCAGAGTTTAGCTACGAATTGCATGACATAAAAACAAGGATTAGGTTGTTGATTGAGATGAGGAATTCGTATGTGAGAGACGGATAGGTGAAATTAATACGACATGTGTCAGACGTACCTTCGCACCGACAACGGCTAATTTCCTTCCGATTCGAATTGAACCTTTTTGGATGGCCCTTGCTAGAGGTGGGTCGATTTCAGCTCGTAATCTATACCATCCATCTGTTACTTCCAATTGGGGTATAGATGTTGTTGTAGTGGTGGTCGTTGTAGAACTTGAACTTCCGTTTGAATTGGTGGTTGAAGGATAAATGATATTTGAGACGCATAAAATCATAGTTGAACCAGCTGGTGCGTCTTCAGTTGTGATAAGTCTCAAAGCAGGTCTCGAGGACCCGTTAAGCTCTGTGTCATACCTGAATTTCGAACAAACACAAAAACAACGAACAATCAGTCACCATTGACAAACCAGCGAGAAAGGTAGAATGAAGTCGAATAGAAATGAAATGAAATCATACCGATACTTCAATTGTCTCATAACCTCTTTCCAACACCATCTCTTCTTATCTACATCTTTCTCGTTTTCAGGTTCCAAACAAACCAATCCGGCTAATTTCCAAAGAATCAAGGACCAATGGTTTTCAACCCATTCTTTCGTAGCAAGGTTGCAACCCGTCGATTGTAATTCTTCGAAAGCCGCAGCCGAACCTAAAGTCTTTTCTGTCGAAGGAATTTGAGATGCAGTGAAAGGTGTGGATGATTTTGAGTGAAAACAATAATATGGTGCTAGCTGTGGTGTAATTTGTGAGAGTTCAGATATGTTTCTGAAAATAAAATGGGTGTGAGTATATAGTGGACGAAAGGGTGAAAAGACACGTACATCCCCATACGTTCAAGTTGTTCAACTGTATACGATTGGGGTCTTCTACCACAATTCTCAAGTGTCCGCTTCCCGTCCGCACGAGCTATTCAAACAAGCAAATCGATTATAATACAAAACAACAAGAGTGAAAATACACATACCCGATACTACTTTCTCTTTCATCTTCCCTTTGCCCTTATCGACAACAACAGGTGCTACAGGTGGCTTTGGAGGAGGAGCCATCGGCGTTACATTCAACCTCTCCAATTTCGACGTCCCGACTTCAGGACGTTTAAACCCCGCCTTGAACGGTGTCGTG